TTACTCTGCAACACCCTCAGCCCGCAAAAAAAATACCCCAACCTATAAAGCCAATTCCCATCCTTACCCCTTTGCCTGTCCTTTCTTGGATTCCACCCACTTGTACCCAAGGGAGAAATAAAATGACCCTGTCACCCACACAAAGCCTATTTGGAAAACCTCTTTATTAAATGCGTTTAATATTTGGTATTATTGGACATTTGGTGCCAGAAACCCAGGACAGGGGGACTCCCATGGGAGATGAGTCCCCTGTTCCAACTTTCATAAATAGATCTACCTACCGACCTGGGGTCATCAGACCAGCCCACAGACTCACACCACTGGCTATTCTGGTAAGCAGTCTCTCTCCTGTTTCCTTTCCCATCCTTTTGTCTTTTCCTTTCCACTTCCGCCCCCTTTTGGTTTCATTCTTTTTCCACTGTGAACACAAGGAAAATCAGGTAAACCAGGTTCTTCCGTGTGGTTCAGGACTGGAAAAAATCCTACATAGGTCACGGATCTGGGAACCCAGTTTACCCCAGGGTTTTGACTATCGTGGAGACATTCACCCACCAGGCTCATGTCCGATATTGGTGGCAGGTCAACAAAGAGGACGCTCTCTTTGACTGCTCACCCATGAGGAGGTTCAAACCAGGCTCAACTAGGGATGCCTATGGAGTGGCCAGGGTGTGTGCCCAGTTTCCTTGTCTCTGCTGCCTTTCCAGAACCATGGGAAATCATCCATCCTCTATCCCTCCCTCTTTTCCGCTGGCCTGTGTTCCAAAAAACCTCAAGCCTCTTCTACTGTCTCCTGACCTAAAACCCAAATGTCTCATCTTCTTCTGTAACACTGCATGGCCACAATACGAGTTAAACGATGGCTCCAACTGGTCAAAAGATGGCACCTTCGACCTCTCTATTTCACAAGATTTAGACAGTTTTTGTTACAACATGGGCAAATGGTCTGAAATACCTTACTTCCAGGCATTTTTTACACTTCGATCCATTCCCAGCCTCTGTTCCCAATGTGATCCCTTTCAAATTTTCCTTCCTTCCTTCTCTCCCATCCGTGCCCCCTGTACCTGCCACCAGTGCAGAGTCTAAAAACTAGCTCCCCCACCCAGCAGTTTCCCCTTCTAGAAGTAGCTGGAACCGAGTGCATAATCAAGGTTCATGTTCCTTTTTCTTTATCTGATCTGTCCCAAATAAATCAGCACTTAGGATCCTTTTCGTCAGACTCTACTAAATATATCCCAGGGTTCCAATATCTAACTCAATCCTATAGTTTAATCTGGAATGACTTAAGCGTCATTCTAACTTACAACACTCCTATCTTGCCTGTCAAAAACTGGACAAGTCCTACTGGGTAGTTCAGGACCTCTGCCTTATCAATCAAATTGTCCTCCATATATATCTTGTGCTGCAAAACCCATATACTCTTCTGTCCTCAATTCCTCCATCCCCAACCCATTATTCTGTCCTTGATCTCAAAGATGCCTTTTTCACTATCCCCCTACACCCTACCTCTCAGTCTCTCTTTGCCTTTACCTGGACTGACCCTGATACCCACCCTTCACCACAACCCACCTGGACTGCCTGCCTCAGGGTTTCAGGGACAGCCCACACTACTTTGGTCAGGCCCTTGCTCACATCTGTTTCTGCTCCTCGTCTTCCCACCTTATTCAATATGCAGACGACCTTTTGCTGTGCAGCCCCTCTTATGAAACTTCTCAGCAAGACACCATCCTGCTTCACTTACTTTATACACTTCTCACAATCTCCAGGCTTTAATATCCTCTTCTCATCTTCTACATCTTTTATCTGCCCCACGTCTTGTCCAATTTTCTTCGCTCTTTATTGAAATTCCCACTGTGAGTATTGTGCATGGCCCCGATTTTAATCCAGGCTCTCACCTAATACCAAACATGAATGCTACTCCTGCACGGCATAACTGCATCTCCTAGTACATACTGCTGTTTCCCCTTTTCCCCACATCTCTCTTTCCCTTATTCCAGACTCTGCTCACACATAGTTTATTGATGGCAGCTCTTCCAAACCCAACCAGTCCTCCCCAGGAAAGGCTGGCTACGCTGTTGTTTCCCATACTTCTATCCTTGAAGCTGCCACTCTTCCTCCGTCTACCACTTCTCAATAGGCTGAATTAATAGTACTTACAGGTGCTCTTACCCTGGCTCAGAGTAAATATCTATACTGATTCCAGATATGCCTTCCACATCCTCCACCACCATGCTGTCATTTGGGCAGAAAGAGGTTTTCTCACTATACAAGGAATTTCCATTATCAATGCTTCTTTAATAAAGACCTTCCTTAAAGCTGCTCTTTTCCCATTTAACGCCAGGATCGTCCACTGTAAAGGGCACCGAAAACCTTCAGATCCCATTGCTCAAGTAAACGTACTAGTAGACGAGACAGCTGGAAAAGCAGCCAATGCACTACTATCTATCCCACCTAGTGGACAGTATTTTTCTTTTTCGTCCATTAATCCTCTTTATTCAACCTCAGAGTCATTAAAGTACCAGTCACTTCCCACTCAAGGTAATTGGTTTTTAGATCATAGAAGATTAATGACTTCCAGTTCCATCCATACTGCTGCAAATGACATGATTTTATTTTTTATGGTTGTGTGTACCTATGCCACATTTTCTTTATCTAATTATCTGTTGATTAATATTACAATTGATTCTCTTTCCTATTGTGAACAGTACTGTGATAAACCTGTGAGTGCAGATATTTTTGATTTAATTATTTATTTTTGGGGAGTAGATACCCAAAGTGAAAGGTTAACCTCTGTCATATCTGTATCACAGAAGATTATTCATTTAAATTTAGATAAAACAATGAAAATTAAAGGCTATCTTTGTGTTTTAAATTACAAATTATAAATATATAAAACATATATATATAAAGAATATATATGTATGCATTGCAACTGAGATATATATGTATATATATCAATTGCCATGCAGATATAATTCATACAAAAGGAACTAGATTGAAATATGAGATATGTCAATATATTGTTTGCATTTGTTTTGAGTGATGAGATTTTAAGTTTTCCTTTGGCTTTATATTTTTTGATACTTTTTTGAACTTTTTATTCAATGAATAAATAATACTTAGGAATTTTTTTGAAGAAGAAGAAGTACATTTGTCAAATCTAAAAAGAGCACTGAAATGGAGATTAGATATTCTAGAGAATATCATTTCCAAATGGAATCAAAGAGGACATAAAGTAATTCAAGTCTCTGGACAACTAACAGTTAAGCCTCACCTCTATCTTTAGTGGAGAATTTACACTTCAGCTGGCAGCCTTCCTCAAGCTAAAGGTGGCTCTCAAGCACTAATAAGGGCACAAAATTCATCATTATGCCTTGCAATTGTCAGCATGAGTCATTATTCTTAGGAAGAATGTAAATGCTTTGACAGCAGGCATTACTCCTTCAAAGTCTACGTTTACTTAAAAAAAAAACCCCACAAATCTATTCAAAATTGAACATATCCTATGGGGAAACTACCTTAAATAGAATCTTCTAATCTCAAGGTTTACCAGTTTGTAGACTCATTTTCAAAGGTGCATGGGTGAATGTCTTGTAACAGATCCTTTAGTGCTATGAGGTTGGTGCCAAGAGTAATTGTGATTTTTGCCATTTTTTTTTAAAGGCAAGAACCATTACTCTTGCACCAACCTAATAGTTGAGTTTCTACTCTCTATTTCCTTGACATTATCTGTCTGTCTGTCTGTCTGTCTGTCTGTCTATCTATCTATCTATCTATCTATCTATCTAATCTATCGATCTATCTATCTATCATCATCATCAACATGTTTATTCAAGACAAACTGTGCACTGCTGATATATTAGTAAGCAAATCAGATAAGTGTGCTGCCATCAGGATGAGTGAATGAATACATTACAGCAGAAACCATTGGCTGCCTCCCAATGCAACTCCCTTCCTGTTACTTATCTGTAAAAAAAAATAGTCTTTCCCAATAGAATCTACAAATGCTAAGGTTTTGCCTTTGGATGGTTGCACGACCTAGTTTGGGACCTAGTTTGGTGAATCTTCTCAAAAAATTCTCCTCCTTCATAAAAACAATGACATTGGAGGATAAATGCCTCCTTTTTCTTTTTCGATTGTGTACACAGTTAGATGAAGACACAATATATATATATATCTTTAGTGACCATCATGATTCTATGAGGAACCAAGGCTTAGAATAAGTAAGTTGGAGGTTGTTACATAGAGTAATGGGGAGGACAATGAAAAACAAACCTGAGTCTTGGTAACATAAACTATAACATTGCCATACTTCCAGCCCTTTTGTTATTTGAGACAATAAAAGTCCTACAGTAGAACAGGTTTTGGGAGTATTGTATATACTAAAGGAATTCTAATTCATGCAACTTCATAGTCCCTTTGTATTCAGGTCTCCTGATTTCATAAAATTTAAAAGGACATGCAATAACAAGGTTTACAAATAATATGCCTCATATTTTAAGTAATAAAAAGTTTCCACAAGTCCTGATCTTGGTAATATCTGAAAGCTGATGAATCACTAATCTATATTCAACTGGCATATTACATAGAAATAAATCACTCAATATCTGAACTGTCTCATTGTCTTCTGCTCACATTTCTTTCTAAAACTCTGATTTGAAAAATAAATTTAAAAGATTCAAAAGGCCTTGTATGATCTACCTTTGCATAAGTCTCTTAGCTTAAAATCTGCAACTCATGAACTCTGGGGAACCAGGATTTGTTGTATAAGATTTCTAACCTGCTGGAATGAGGCAGGCCTTTGATTAAGAATGAGTGTAGAAAATAATACTTCCACTTATCTCCATTAATTAAGCAGGCAAGAAAATAAAAGTATTTCTAATGCAATCAAATGCAACTCCAATTCATGAAAAATGTCAGAAATTAATTTAAACTAAATAATGTTTTTGATATTTTAGGTATTGGGCTAGCAAGTTTCAGGGAAAAGAGAGAAAGAGACTCACCTTAAATAATAAATCCTTCTTCCCATAACGAAGCTCCTTCAGCTGGGCTTGAATTTTTTTTGACTGTAAGATAAAAACATGGATAAATGCCATAACTCATTTATATTTATTTCTAAACTTGAAGATTTAATTTCTGTCAGACTTTAAAGGAATACATTTGGCAGCCAAGCAATGCACAGTCCAACTAATTTAGAAATAAAACAGAAAAGCTTAAACTCTGCTTTGAGAGTCAGACATCTGGACATTCTAGGCAGAAAGTGAAAAACCAAAGCTTGATTCAAACATGTTATTTAAAGAAAATTGATTATTGTTCTTCCCCTAATTCACAACTAAACACAGAGAATTTCTGTCACCTAGGCTTGGCCATCAGACTAATTTTAGATGCTAATTACCTGTGCATACGTATGCCTGACTTTTTACTACTTATTTTCAATTACTTTTTTTTTAATTAAATGCAAGTAAATTTGAATTTGCCATTTGATCAACAAGAAGCGAATGTGACCAGAAGCAAGAAAAGCTGCTATGATGCTAACATGCTGAGCTGAATGGTGTTTGCACTTTAGAACAATACACTTTTTAAAAGGGCTATAACAAATATGAAAATACTTAAAAAGAAAATATTTCTCAGCAGTATGCTTTGACTACCACATTGAATTATGGTCCCTTAAGTCACAGAATGATGATCATGCATTTTCAATTTTTCAGGAGAGGCCTAATTTCTAACATTATAATATAAGGACTTCAGTTCATTATACTTCTGTACCCTAAAATTATAGGTCCTGATTTTTTACTCATGCAAAACAAACAAACAAAAGAAGAAAACTGCCACCACCAATAACAACACACACACACACACGCGCGTGCACACACACACACACACAATAAATAGATTAGCATGATCACTTGAAGAAAAAATTGATAATTAAAATGTATTTGAGTGGAATTATAAATTAGTATAATCACTTTAGGAAACTGGCAGTTTCTGATAAAATTAAACATATGTACACTGCATTACACTGCAATATGTCCTAGGTAATTACCCAAGAGGAATTATAACATACACAAAAAATGCTTATAGTATCTTTATTCATAATCAAAAGCTAGAAAAAGCATATGTGTTAATAAGCAATGAAGAGATAAATGCTAGACTACCCATGACATGGAGTACTGGAATTCCACTGAGCAATTTAAAAGGAATGATGTACTGATTTATGGAACAACATGAACAAATTGCAAAAGCATTATACCATGTGAAAGAATCTAGTAACTAGAAGCTATAATTTGTGTAATTCTGTTTGAATAATATTCTAGAAAAGGCAAACAAATAGGGACAGAAATCAGTTTAGTAGTTAACATGAGCTGAGGGTTGGATGTGAAAATTTAGTATAATATAGCAAGAAGACATTTTGGAGGATAATGAAAAAATTCTGTATTTTGAATCTATACATTGGTTCAAACCCATCAAACTATACACTTAAAGTAGATAAATTGTATATGTGCAAATTATATCTCAATAAAATTAAATTTTAAAAGCAGCTGGCTATAGTAGGTTACAAACCCAAGATCCTTATGCGAGTATTACATCCTAGTAAACTGTGTTGATATAAGTCTTTAATAAAGAAAGTTTCTTTACTAAAGTCTACCTATATTGTCAAAATATAATTTTCCAAGCTTACAAAGCATGTATATGAGTTTTCCACTGAGCCAACTGCAAGTTTGCTGTGATTCAATTTTCCTTAATATTTAGAATATTTTTTTCTGTTTTGTTCTTTTTTCTTTGAGACAGAGTCTCGATCTGTTACCTAGGCTGTAGTGAGTAACCCGATCTCAGCTAGCTGCAACTTCCGTGTCCTGGGTTCAAGCAATTCTCCTGTGTCAGCTTCCCGAGTAGCTGGATCTATAGGCACAGGCCACCATACCCAGCTGATTTTTTGTATTTTAGCAGAGACAGCGTTTCACTGTGTTGCCCAGGCTGGTCTCGAACTCCTGAGCTCAGGTAATTGCCTGCCTTGACCTCCCAAAGGGCTGGGATTACAGGCATGAGCCACTGTGCCCGGTCTCAGAATATTTCTAATTATGCAATGTACTTGGTTTGTGACATAGGAGCTGTGTTATAATGGCACGATAATTTTTCGATCATTGTTCAATGTTGTAAGTACTATAGATTCAAGCAGAAACTTGAAAGCGTTGTCAATGACACACCACTGAAAGGTTCTTATATTGGAAACACTGTTTTTCACTGATATTTCTATTATAAATCACCTGCATTTCATGATCTATTGAATCAGAAAATTAATAAGAAAAAAATGAAAAGAAAACAAAATGAAATGAAATGAAAAAAGAAGAAAAAGAGACAGGAAGAGAAGCAGAGGGAAAGAAGGCAGTAAAGAGGAAGTGAGAGAGAGGAAAAGAAGGAAAGAGGAGGAAAGAAAGAAAGGAAGAGATGAAACAGGAAGGAAGAAAGGAAGGGAGGGCTTAAGACTGAAATATGCTAATAATTCTATATTTCTGAACTCTATACAAAGCAGCAGCAAGAATTTATGGTTTGTCACAGAGTAGTTGATTTTTTTATATTTCCATAGAAAGTCACCCTTCTTTTGATATGGATAGTGAAGGTGAAATGCATGATGCATAAGAAGAACAAAAAGACATGATTGAGTATACCTAGTGGTTAATAGGATTTATGAATAAAACTCATATTGAGCCCTCAATGCATTGACTTTCTTTTTCTTTTTTTTTTTTTTTTTTGAGACGGAGTTTTGCCCTTGTTACCCAGGCTGGAGTGCAATGGCGTGATCTCGGCTCACAGCAACCTCTGCCTCCTGGGTTCAGACAATTCTCCTGCCTCAGCCTCCCGAGTAGCTGGGATTACAGGCACACGCCACCATGCCCAGCTAATTTTTTTTATATTTTTAGTAGAGACGGGGTTTCACCATGTTGACCAGGATAGTCTCGATCTCTTGACCTCGTGATCCACCCACCTCGGCCTCCCAAAGTGCTGGGATAACAGGCTTGAACCACCGTGCCCGGCCTGACTTTATTTTTCTACTTCAGAATCATATTTATTATATCACTGTCTTTCCTCACACAGCTTCCCAAATGACTCAAAATAATATTTCAAGTACAGCATCTATTTCTTATTATGTTAACTTACTCATTGTATTAGTCTGTTCTCACTGCTGCTATAAATAAATACCCGAGATTGTGTAATCTATAAAGGAAAGACATTTAATTGGCTCAGAGTTCTGCATGGCTGGGGAGGCCTCATGACACTTGCAATCATGGTGGAAGGCACCCCTTCACAGGGTAGCAGAAGAGAGAATGAGTGCCAGCAGGGGAAATGCCAGATGCTTATAACACCATTGGATCTCCCGAGAACTCACTCACTATCTAGAGAACAGCATGGGAGAAACTGCCCTCATAATTCAATTACCTCCCACCACGGTGCCTCCTATAAAATGTGGAGATTACGAGATTACAATTCAAGTGAGATTTGGGTAGAAACAAAAAGCCAAACCATACCATTCTGCACCAGCACCTCCCCAATCATGTCCTTACATTTCAACCATGCCCTACCAACAGTCCCCCAAAGTCTTAACTCATTCTAGCATTAACCCAAAAGTCAAAGCCCAAAGTCTCATCTGAGACAATGCAAGTCCCTTCTCCCTATGAGCCTATAAAATTAAAAGTAAGTTAGTTACTTCCTAGATACCATAGGGTACAGGTGTTGGGTAAATACACCCATTCCAAATGGAAGAAATTGGCCAAAACAAAAGGGCCACAGGCCCCATGCAATTCTGAAAGCCAATAGGGCAGTCATTAAACCTTAAAGTTCCAAAATGATCTCCTTTGACTCCATGTCTCACATCCAGGTCATGCTGTTGCAAGAGGTGGCCTCCCACAACCTTGTGCAGCTCCACCCCTGTGGCTTTGCAGGGTATAGTCCCCTTCCTGGCTGCTTTCACAGGCTAGCATCAAGTGTCTATGCCTTTTCCAGGTGCACAGTGCAAGCTGCTCATGGATCTACCACTCTGGGGTCTGGAGATGGTGGTTCTCTTCTCACAGCTCCACTAGGCAGTGCTGCAGTGGGGGCTTTGTGTGGAGCTCTGAACCCACATTTCCCTGCTGTACTTCCCTAGAAGAGGTTATCCATGAGGACTTCACCACTCCAGGAAATTTCTGCCTGGACATCCAGGCATTTTCATACATCCTCGGAAATATAGACAGATATTCCCAAACCTCAATTCTTAATTTTAGTGCACCCACAGGCTCAATACCACATGGAAGCCACCAAGGCTTGGAACTTGTACCCTCTGAAGTAATGGTCTGATCTGTACCTTGTTCCTTTTAGCCACAGCTGGAGCTGAAGCAGGGCACCATGTCCAAAGGCTGCACAGAGCAGGGCAGCCCTGGACCCAGTCCATGAAACCACTTTTCCCTTCTAGGCCTCTGGACATAAGATGGGAACCATGAAGGTCTCTGCATGCCTTGGAGACATTTTTCTCCATTGTCTGGATGATTAACATTGGGCTCCTCTTAACTTTTGCTTATTTCTTCCTTTGGCTTTCTCCCCCCAGGAAAGTTGTTTTTTTTTTTTTTTTTTTTTTTTTTTTTTTAATTGCATTGTCAGTCTGCAAATTTTCCAAACTTTTATGCTCCACTTCCTCTGAACACTTTGCCGCTTAGGAAATTCTTCCACCAGATATCCTAAATTATCTCTCTCAAGTTCAAAGTTCCACGGATCTCTAGGGCAGGGGCAAAATGCTGACAGCCTCTTTGCTACAGCATAGTAAGAGTCACCTTTGCTCCAGTTCCCAACAACTTTCTCATCTTCATGTGAGACCACCTCAGCCTGGACTTAATTGTACATATCATGATCAGCATTTTGGTAAAAACCGTTTGACAAGTCTCTAGCAAGTTCCAAACTACCCCACATCTTCCTGTTTTCTTCTGAGCTCTCCAAACTGTTCCAACCTTGCCTGTTACCCAGTTCCAAACTCACTTCCACATTTTCAGCTATCTTGAAAGCAGTACCCCACTCTGTTGTACCAATTTACTGTATTAGTCTGATCTCACACTGCTATAAAGAAATACCTGAGACTGCAGAATTTATAAAGGAAGGAGGTTTCATTGACTCACAATTCCACACGGCTAGTGAGGCTCTCTAAGATAATTCTGCTTTACATGATAATCATTATTTTATGCTGCTAATTTTACTACAGGATAATTTATCTCTCTCACAATTTGAAATGCAGAGTTGATTGGCATTTTCTCCCACCTGTTCCAATCCACTCTCCAGGACTCATTTACTACCAGGTTTCTCAGGAAAACAGACTTTCTTCTTTTGTTTTTGTTTTTTTCTCATAATAATGTTGATGGTGTCAATGAAGAGTCGGAGATTACTACCACATATGGTGCACACGATTTGTCAAACTGCATGTCAATTCCCCCACATAATTGATGCTCTATCTTTCAAGTGACAGAATGGTTGCATTTCAACTATTTGAGGTGTTCATTTTTAAAACATAATTAAAATGCATATCTAAATGTACAGAATATCCTTTAAAATTTTCCACATTACTTGGAATTATCAAAACATCAATTATTGCATTATTCAATGATTCATTCAGGAACTACAATAAAACCTTCTGCATTTAATGACCATGAATGACTATTTAGCATTGCTACTATAATATATATAAAAAAAGCTTTAGGAGTTTTCTTCACAGTTACTCATCTCTTTGCTTCCAACACTCTTCTAATTTTCAGTTAAAAAGCAAAATCCTGTCTGAAGATTTCAGGAAAGGTTATGCAAAGAATAAATGCATTTTGAGGGGGTGCATCTCTTTTTTATAATGTATAATAATTCAAAACCCAGCTGACAATTAGACTGTTTATTTCAGCTTGTTAGTAACATATTGAAAAGTTAAAATTATCAAAAGGATAACCTTCAAACAATTAGTGATTTTAAATACAGTTCCAAATGTTGGTGCCTGTGAGTCATGAATTTTTCATAAGAAGGTTTCACAGCAAAATTTAAGTTGCTAATAATGATAATGTTGTCTATAATATAAAGACAAAGAAGATGAAAAAAGAAGAAACTAAATGTCCATGATAGAACATTTAGTTCCGCTTTTTTTTATCCCATTTAGGACATTATCTTTCAGTCTGAGATTTTTGCTTCCTATAATTTCATATTCAAACGGCATTTCTTTCATGAAATAAGAGTGATGATTTTGGTAGATGGTGTTTACAGTAGCTTCACTTTTTAATGTTGTCCTCTGCCAAGTTAAAACAATATCAATCTTCTGGGTGTCAATGGGATTTAAATATTTTATTCTTGTATGAATACTGAAAGTTAAGGGTCACTGATGAAACAGGCAATCTCCTTTTTTAGCTTCTAACCAAGAAAATATATTAGTATTTTGTTTTTGGTAATGATGGTGTATCAAATAACTAAATTTGCCACCATATGGTTTTGAAACTGTATTGTGACAGACAAAAACACATGCCTGCCCCATTATCAAGAACGTTAAGCTCTGCATTGATTCTATAAATATATAATGACATACAACAAATAAATTGTAAAGAACCTATTACAATACATTTTAATATTAGGCAACATGAATACATGAAGTATGTAACAATTTAGGGATAATATATTCTCCTAGGCACTGAGATGAAGAAGAAATAAGAATTACTATTGAACTGACTAAAAAATGAAGGTAATCTCCATTTTTACTTCTGTAAGCCACAGATACTTCTCCTAGAAGCTTCCCCCTTCCCTTGCATGTACAGGAGTGTCATGTGAATCCTGAACACACGTAGATTATCTCAGAACATAACTTCAATCTAGATATTCCTTATTCAAAACATCATTCCACCTGGTTATCCTCCTGTAAGTAGTACTCAGAACCTGTACAAACCACATTTGTACTATTTCCAAAACCTAGGAAATGTAAACAATATACAAGTTTGTTTGTTTTCAAATAGAAAAACAAGAAAATGAAACACCACACTAGATCAGATCTACAAACCATTTAGTCTAATTTTTCATCTTATAGAACATCATCCTTTAGTTTCTCTGTGTTAAACATTTCTATTCATGCCATTTATAATATTTTAGGAAAGATATTATAAAATGGGTTTTTACATTGCATGTTAGACTTGAATGTTTGTGTTTGTGTTAATGATTTTTTCTTTTTTAAGGAGTTTTCACCTTCTTTAACTCTTTAACAAAGAAATCTCAGTTTGGACTGGACACAGGACCACTGACCTAATAATATTTTTCAGACTCTCTTTAACTTAGCTCAGCATGTGACCTAGTTTTAGCAAATAGAGTACAATGAGACAGAAGAGACTATTTTCTGGGTGGACTCCTGAAAAACAATGCTTGTGTTCACCAGATTATCTTCCCTTTCTCTCCTGCTGGAAGAGGATAGTGACAGAAAAAGATACTTTTGAACCAATGGTGGTTCCATAATTAAAAGGCAATAGAGCTGTTTTAGAAGCTCTTCTCCTTACTCCTAGACAACTCCAAGAAAAAGGGTAAACTTGTTTTAACCTGTATAAGCAACTTTTCTCATTGTACCTAAACTTCTTTCCTTCTCAATTGCTTCATAGGCGTAAGACATTCATCATGATATGAAGCCACTCATGAGTGTCCCTTATCATTCATAGGCTATTTCTTGAATACATTTCTTACACATCTAATATATCTTTGTGTGTGCTTCTTGAAGGATGCAGCTTAAACAGTGACTCTTGTCTCCTCTCCTTGAGGCATAAACAATCATTTATCATGACAGCATCACTACTATTTCATTACTATTACTAAGACTTATAGGAGCTACATTTTATATTACGGATTCATAAAAATAGATAGATTTGGAGATGAGAAATATACAAAATTGATTATTTTAGTTAAATCTACATTAATCAGAATGACATATTCCCCCCTGAGAAACATATAGTACAATTTTACTACATAGCCAATAGAACCAATGAATGTATTTATTTTGTATGGTTTATGGTCAACCCCAGAATCTTCACTCTGACTGGCAATTGCCACTGCAAAACTTTGTAGACATCACATAGAAGGCACAAGAGAGGAAAAAAGGAAAATTTTATGGACTTCCAGGAATTTACTATTAAGGAAATTCTGATAGTCCAGGTAAGGAAGAAATCCAGAAAAATAAAATCTTACAAAAGTGACTATTACCTGCCTTTGTTAAAATTTATTTATTTTTTCCTTTTGGCTATTGCAATGTTAAAACACAAAGACACTCAAATATTTAAAATGTTTTATTTTTCTATTTCAAAATTTGCATTATTGTTAGGAGGCAAAAAAAGTTTCCAGATGTCTGGATTGAATAAAAATCTGGAAATAATATTGTTTTTATTGGGTTAAAGCTAGAAGAAGCAAAAATTTACTTACCTCTTCTGCATGAATGCCACAGAGCTTGTTTCCTGACAAGAGTTTGTTTTTCAAGCTTTTATTCTGAGGAAGAAAACATAGTTTTATTGCAAAGAAGAGACAAAATATTAAGAAATTTCTTCAACTATGTCAGCATTACTGCTTTATGTTCTGTTCAAAAATTAGACTTTCATGATATAAAATGTAGTGAATTGCTGTAAAGCTGAATCAAACATTGTTTTTTATTCAATTAAAATTTGCTGTATAGCATTAACACATTCATTTTAAAAGGTAATTTCTAGTTTTATTCTATTGTGGGCAGAAAACAAATTAATATAATTTCGTTTTTGAAAAAAATCTGTTAAAATTTGTTTTTGTGTCCTAAAATACAGTCTATAGGGAGAACATTGCATGTGCTGATGAGAAGAATGGGTAGGCTACAGCTGTTGGGTAAAATGTTCTGTAAATGTCCATGAGGTCCATTTGGTGTAGAGTGTAATTTAACTCTGATGTTTCTCTTTTTTTAATTATTTTTTTGAGATGGAGCCTCACTCTGTTGTCCAGGCTGGAATGGAATGGTATGATCTCAGCTACCTGCAACCTCTGCCTCCTGGGTTCAAGTACTTCTGTTTCAGCCTCCTGGGTAGCTGAGATTACAGATGTCCACCACCATACCTGGCTAATTTTTTTGTATTTTAAGTAGAGATGGGGTTTCACCATGTTGACCAGGCTGGTCTTGAACTCTGACCTAAGGTGATCTGCCCACCTTGGCCTCCCAAAGTGCTGGGATTACAGGCATGAGCCACTGTACCTGGCCTTACTCTAATGTCTCTTTGTTGATTTTTTGTTTGGGTGATATGTCTAGTTCTGAAAGTGGGGTATTAGAGTGCCCCACTATTCTTACATCACAATGAACCTCTCCATTTAAATCTTTTATATAAATAAATACATAAATGTGTGTGTGTGTGTATGTATATATATATGCTCCAATATAGGCTGCATATGTAATTGCAATTATTATGTCCTCCTACTGTAATGACCCTGTTATCATTATATAAGGGCCTTATTGTCATTTTTTAAATCAATTGTTACTGAAAGTCTGTTTTATCTGATGTAACCATAGCTACTCCTAATCTGTTTTGCATGGAATATCTTTTTCCAACCCTCTACATTCAGTCTATGCATGTCTTTATAGATGCAGTGAATTTCTTATAAATAGCATATATTTCAGTCTTTTTTTAGTCCATTTAACCACTTTATATATTTTAATTAGATAATTTAGTTTACTTATAGTCAAGGTAATTATTGATAGGTAAGGATTTACAGTGAAGAGGCAACCTAAAGGATGGGAGAAGTATTTGCAAACTACTCAGCTAACAAAGGTTAATATCTAGAACAAACCAAGAATACAAATCAAAAGCAAAAAGCGAATAATATGATTTATAAAATTGGCAAAATATCTGAATAAACATTTCTCAAATTCCTTTGTCTTCTGACGAACAAATGCCCATAGATATACCATAAATGTTAAACATTACTAATCATTAGGAAAATGCAATGAGATATTATCTCACCCCAGTTAGGATGGTTATTGTCAAAAAGACAAAAAATAACAAGTACTAATGAGGATACAGAGAAAGGGGAACTCATGTACAGTTGCTGGGAATGTAAGTTAATGCAGCCATTATGGAAAACAGTATGGAAGTGTTACAAAACTTAAAAATAGATTAATATGTAATCCAGCAATCCCATTACTGGGTATATCTGCAAAATAAATGAATCAGTATGTTGAACAGATATTTGCATTGCTACATTGATTGAAGCACTATTTATAATAGCCAGGGTATGAAATCAATGTAAATGTTCTTCTACAGATCAATGGAGAAATAAAATGTGGCACATATAGACCATGGAATACTATTAAGCCATAAAACAGAATGAAATCCTTTCATTTGTGGAAACATGTGGGTAGAACCAGAGGACATTAGATAGAATGAAATCACCTAGGCACAGAAAGACAATCCCCACATTATCTTAGTCATATGCAGTACATGAAAAGACTGATTTCAGAAGCAGAGAGCAGAATAGCGGCTACTTGAGTCTGGGAAGGGTAGGAGGAAGTTGAGGGATCAGAAGAAGTTGTTCAACAAGTACAAAGTTACTGTTAGGCAAGAAGAATAGTTCTGGTGCTTTTTACACAGAATGCCTGCAGCAAATAGCAATGCAGTATATGTTTTAACATAGCTTGATGAGAAAAGAGTGACTATTATAACCACAAAGCAATGATAAATGTTTAAATTCTTGGATAGGTTATTAATCATCTTAATTTGATCATCACACAATGTATATAAGTATTCAAACATCACACTGTACCACATAAATATGTACAATCTATGTCAGTGATAAATACAGCTTAATTCGTAACAAGATAAAACTTTATTTGGTCTTGTATTTACTTTCTGTTTCTTATTTTATATGGGATTTTAAAAATAATTTTTGGTTCAAATAAGCAATAGATGCTAGTTTCTGAAAGCACCCTTCTAAACGGCAAGCATTTATTCCTACTACTATTTGGATTTTGGTTATCTTGTACCCTAGCATAACATAGTTAAAGATCCCTAACAGGGTCTGTATTTCCTTCGAAGTCTATAATTATAAGTCTTCTTAAACTACTAATGTCTGTACATTGAATTCCAAAGGCTTCTTGATTCTCAGAAGCCATTTCTTCTTCCAGGCCTGACAGATACGCTCTTCATGTGAGTCAGAGATAACACAGGGTAACACAGATCTGTTACCCTTTAAATATCTCATAATTGACCTAGGTTCAAAGACAAATGTTGGTTCCTCTGACACTTCTTAACATCTGAGTCTAACCCCTCATAGCTATTTAATTTTATTTGCCTCATTACACTCAGGCTTTTCTGTCCTTTACCCCAATAACCAAAGTAACAGTCTGTCTTTAGATGGGCAGGCTAAGGAGAGCAGATAACTGTAAAACCCACAGGATTCAGACTTCATACTGACTCTATAGGAGTAGACAATGTCCTGGTACAAGTACATATTATACATGATGACTCTAAAGAGGGCCAGTTGTATGAGCACCAGGAGCAAAATGAGCATTTAATGCAGAGAGACTGAATACATCCATCACGTTTAAGAGTTCCCCACTTAGAATTCCAAGCTAATTTTAAACAGCGTTTTCTATTTTGTTTTCCTATCATGGAGTGAGGGGTACAGTTGTCTCAGTCTGAGAGAATACTCTGTCTTTTCCCCTTTAGCTAAAATTTGGAAATCTAAAAAGCTCAGTTAGAATTTCAATACCATGAAATGTTTTACACAAATGGGAGGAAGTTATTCTGATTTATTCAAGTAATGTCTTTTTGTAAATATTTGCACTGATCATACAAGGTATAATACTAGGGTTCTTTTTGTTTTAAGGAGAATCTGATACACATTAATTCCATATTTAAAGAGATGTATATGCCAATAAAGGGATGTATACCGATATGTTCTGCCTCTGCAGTGTTGCTCAGATTGTAGCACAATACAACTCTTCAAAATGGAGACAAGATAAGTGATATACATCTCATAGGAGTATTTATGTCCTAACAAAAACCATTCACATCTGAGAGATATTCGTATAAATAAGAAATAACTATCAATTAATAAATGACATATTTAAAAATTGGTGTCTGTAGTACATACTATTTAAAATTTGCATCTCCACTTAAAGTTATTTTCTTTTCATTTATGTATCTATGAATATATTTATTTATTTATATTACTATTTGTTCACTTATTAATGTTGCTGACACTCAGGAAATTTTGTATGTTGGTTTGAATGATATAAATTATAGCAAATACTAACTTTGATCCTTCAAAAATAATATTATTTTATATTTTTTCTGAGGCAGAAACATACATGTTAACTGAGATATATGACAGGAGACTAATTTTTAGCATACTATTTATTCCATTGACCTGTTATTACACAGATTTCTTAGAATAGATTATTCTTTAATTACTTGGAGTAGGCTTTTCAGTGACCAGGATGTTTGTGTCAAGTTTATAGAAAATCAAGCAGTGCTAAACATTCTACACTGTTAGTGAAGCCAGAGATTTTATAAAGATGTTCCACAGAACCATTTAACTTTCTTTAATAATATTTACTCTCCACTCTCCCACAAAAGATTGATGCTATGATAATATGAGTTGAACAAAGTTAAAAAGATTTATTTTCTCCAGACTTCTCAGAGTCTTTATTACAATATTGTGCTTCATGGACACAAGGAGGGTAAAAACAAACACTGGGGTCTACGGGGGAAAAGGAAGAGGATCAGGAAAAATAACTCTTAATACAAGGCTTAGTACCTGGGGGACAAAATAATCTGTACAACAAACCTCCATGATGTGAGTTTACCAGTTTACTTTCATAAAAAACCTGCACATGTAACCCTGAACATGTACCTCTGAACCTAATTATTATTAGATATTTTAATAATACTAATACAATTGTATTTAATATAAATGGTTTTCCTAAATTTGTTTGACAAAAATATACTTTGGACTAAAGAACTTATCTCATTACTAGAATTTGAGAAATGAAGCTGCAAGTATTAACCTATGTTTGATTTTACTAAGGGAGACCAAAATATTATAGTATTATATTTTACAAAAGTTCTATTTATCATGCTTACTTGTAAAATGATAAGGAAAATTTGATTCAGGACTTTTGAAACAAATGTCAAGACTATTGGAATAAGGGAGAAAGATGGGGCTCAACTCTAAATATAGCAAAATCATAGCAAAGACAGCTGAAGATTTATAGCCAATGAGCAGAATTCAGGAGGTCAATGGATAGAAAATTACTAATAGGAGCTATCATGGGTAGGAGGATTTTTGCTAAACCTGCCAAATAGAATCCCTGCTGAAAGGCATTTGATCAGATTTAGATATCAAGGGTGAAGGAGTCTCCCTAAACTGACTTAGCAGGGCTCCTGCTACAATTGGATTAGGTGAGTCTAAGACAAGACCTGAGGACAAGGCCCATTTGAAAAGTGACTCAGAGGAGTCTGTCTAAAGTT